ATTCCTTTGTGAGTTTAACAGTAAATGGGTGAAACTGCTGAGAAACTAGAAAAGAGAATGAAGAAAGTATAGATGAAACAACTATGGCGAGAGTCATGGCGAAACGAAAACGAGGTAAAGTAACCACGAACAATCGAGAAGTTTGAAATGAAAGAAACCGCAGCAACTTTGGCTCTCGGGCCTAAGTCTAATCTGCCGTAAAATATTGATTCCACTGAAAGGTACCTCTTACTGTCTCCTAACTGTAAGGAATGCTACACCTTCAGGGAGCTTAGGACTGTTGAATACCAAACATGCTCAGCACAGCTTTTGTGCTAGTGCTTAAGACGTATGCATTCATTACCAAATCAATGATTAAACATACTCATTTGCAAATGTAACCTCGTCTTGGATTGCTTTCTGAGTCTTCTTTGCACTGCAGTGGTGCTGTAGTCTGAAACATACGACGACGAAGGTTTACCACTTCCAGAAAATTGTGGACTGTCAACTTCTACTAGAACTTCCAATCTGAAAATATTTCTGGCTCCCGCTTACCATCTGAATATGCGTCCAGTATTCGTTTCACAGAGCTACTACCGTCTATTCCTTGGCAATAGGGCCACCATCTGAAATACCTTGCTTCCAGCGAGTCAGTCACTTTACTTGAATCTTCAAATCTTTCTTTCACAACAGCATCTGACACAAGATCATTACAGTTGCCTAACACTGATCTTGAATTCGTCATCTCAGTCGCTTCCGGTTATCTGTTATGAGCCCTGTTAAATGCTGGCATCTCCAAGCCACGGAGCAAGATGCTAAGAATGCGAACACTGCATGTCCGCAGCTTCGTGCCACTGCCAACAGTTTTGTCTTTTCCAGAGCTTGGATAATTTAATGCATGCTGCTAATGCGAACACAACTCCATTAATTTTGAGAGGAATAAAAAATTACTCGAGATTGTCCATACGTCAAACAAGGAATCACCTTGTCTCTGTGTAACTATCGAAGAGCAAGTAAGTGCTAGAAGATATTCAGGTTGTCACATGAACTTTCGAAGCCAGTCTGTTTGCTACCATTTGCATACAACGCTATTGATCGTGCAGCAATCGATCAAACCATCGGAACCGTCTGGTGGTTGAACGGTGAGCGAGCAAATTTCGAAGGTTGCGTATTGATCGTTCGTGCTTTCGGTCGTAGTCTAAGTACGTGCTTGCTGCTGTCTAAGAACGCTAATCGTTCCGGTTGTATTCGGAGGTTGAATGCGAATACATTTTCGAGTTTAGTTCCGGTTACAAATCCGTGGTACACACCCGACGCCGCAGTAGCAATGGTCGCCGCCTACTCGCCGTTCACTCGAAAGGATTGGGGTCTGATCGCCTTGGCAGCAATCGTCCCGTACGGCTGCAGCTACCTCACGTACGTCTATGCGAAGGACTGGGAGCCCATGCAGTGGTACAAGGTGCGTATGAGGTTCGATATGGTTCAGCAAAGCTAGACATGCTCTCAGTCATTGCTCCAAACTCCCTCAGCCAACTCCCTCGTACTGTTCGATAACTTTTTACCAAATGTACCTAATAGGCTGGAATTGTTTACGCGGCTTGTAATTCAGTCGGCTTGCTGGCAAGTTGATGTCCTAACGATGAACTAGGGTTGCTGAGTTTGATGGATGACTCAGAGCGTATGACTCAGGACCGAGAAGCCTTGGTTTCGAGCTTGGTCGGGTCACTCGCGTTTCTTCCTTCCGAAGTTCATAAATGAATGCCCACTCTGTGGGACAGATATAGGAGACTACGAGACTAAGCGATATGCTCGTTACGTAGTTGCTGTCAACGTTGCCTTTAAAACAAAGTATTAATGGCTGATGACATGGAAATGAATATAATTTCCCTACCGCTATCTTAATGAAAATAAGGCCACCAGAAAGCGTCTCATCATGAAAGTGTAACACCGACATTTCAACCGTTGCAAACCTTCCTTTCTCTTTTTAGCGATTGTGTGCTGAAATCGTGGTAGGTGGTCACTCGCAGCTGTTTATCTTTCAGACGTAGGTAAATGGGTACTGCCCCC